CTCACTTCAAGGAAGATACTTTGTATCTTTGTTAATGTCACGAGACTTAATTTGTGCCCTAACATACACTCTACCCTGGAAGCTGTCCCTTGTGCACTTGAGACCCCTGTTTGCTGCTGTGTTGGGTGGAGTGTTCCGTCCTGTCCGTCAGACTCAGTGGGTCTGTTTGTCAAGTCCTCTGTTTCCTTACTTACCTTTTGTCGGGTCATGATACCCATTTCTGTGAGTGGTGTACTTTTCGCACTTTGTTATAGAACTGTTTTTCCCTTCAGTTCTGTTAGGTTTTGCATCATATATAGTGTTTTGATGATCTGTCATTAGGTGTGTAAATGTTTATAATTTTTATATTTTCTTGCTTTATTGAACCCTTTTTTAATAGGTAATGTCCTTCTTTGCCTTGTGTAATTATTTTATTTAAAGTCTAATTTTGTCTGCTATTGGTACAGCCTCGGTGCTCTCTTTTGGTTAACTTTGGCATGGAATGTCATTTTTTCTCCTTTCAAAGGTTTGTGTCTTTAGATCTCAAATGAGTCTCTTGTTGACTGGGTACAGTTGGATCATTTATTTATCCATTCTGCCAGTCTCTTTATTTACTTATTTATTTTTAATTGGGAAATTGGGGGAGGGGGACCAGCCAAGTTGTTGTTCTTCAATCTTCGTTGTGGAGGGCACCAGTCACCATCTGGCTGCCCCTCGGCAGCTCGTGGCCTTTAAGCTCAAGGTGCTGTGTTCAATCTTAGCTCCGGGTGGGCGTAGCCACCATCCCATGCGGGAGTCGAACCAGCAGCCTTGTTGTTAAGAGCGCACGTTCTATCCACTGAGCCATCCGGGCGGCAGCTCAGCTCAAGGTGCCGACTTCAGTCTTAGTTGCCGGTGAGCGTAGCCACCATCGAACAGGCAGTGTTGTTGTTACACCAGCGTCACTGGCCCAAGTGGGAATCGAACCGGTGACCCTGTTGCTCAGAGCTCGTGCTCTTAAGCCAACTCTTAACCAATGAGCCACTCGGCCGGCCCCGCCAGTCTCTTTTGATGGGAGAGTTTAACCTGTTTACATTTAAAGTACTTACTAGTTAAGGAGCGACTTAACTTCTGTTATTGAGCGATTTGTTTTCTATGTGCCATGTAGCTTTTTTTGCTCTTCATTTCCTGCATTCCTTTTTTTTTGGTTTAATTGATTTTTTAAGTAAAATGTTTAACTTCCTTTCTTATTTCTTTTTGTATATATTCTATAGCTATTTTATTTGTTATTACCATGGAGATTACATTTATCTTCCTACAGCTACAATGTTCTAACATCAATTTATAGCAGCTTAACTTCAATAACACACAAAAACTCAGCCCCTTTACCGCTCTCGCCTCACCTCTTTCAGTTTTTGGTGTCACAAACTTATATCATTATACAGTGTACCCAGAATATACACTAATACTTTTTATAAATGCATTGGTCTTTTAAGTTATGTAGAAAATAAAATTTTAAGTTACAGACCAAAGTTACAACAATACCAGCTTTTAGCATAATAATTTTTGCCTTTTTCCTTAAATGAATTAGTCTCTTAAATTATGTAGATGACGAAGTGCAGCTCCAAACCACCGTCACCATCTACCAGCTTTGGTGATTGCCCAGGAATTGACCTTTACTGAGATCTTTATTCCTCCAGTCAGCTTCACGTTCCTGCCCAAGTCCTCTCCTGTCACCGGCAGGACTCCCTGGAGTGTCCCTCGCAGGGCGGGCAGGTCCAGTGGTACAGACTCCTCAGCTTTTGTCTACCTGGGAATGTCTGACTCCTCACCTACTTTTGAGGGACAGTTTTGCTGGATGTGGGATTTGTGGCTGTCAACTCTGTTTCTTTTCGCACCATGACCATATCAGCCCACTGGCCTCTGGCCTCCTACGTGTCTGATGAGAAATGGGCAGAGTCTTACCAAGGGTCCCTTGTATGTGACGAATTGCTTCTGTCTCGCTGCTTTCAAGATTCTCCCTTTGTCTTTGTCGTTTGAAAGTTTGGTTATGTGTCTTGGTGTTCATCTAATTCACCTAATTCGCATAATTCATTATGTGTCTCTCTAAGTTCATCGCACTTGGAATTTGTTGGGCTTCTTGCATGTTCATATTCATGTCTTTCATCAAATCTGGGCAGCTTTAGCTATTATTTTTTTCAAATATTCCCCCCTCCCCTTTCTTTTCTCCTTCTGGGACTCCCATGATCTACATTTTAGTTTCAGTAACCTAAAAATAAAAGGCCTTTCAAAGTAAGAAGCAAAGGAGTGTTTATTTGAGATCAAAGAACAGCTATTTGGGCAGCACTGATTCAGGCAGAAGCCCAAATAATGTTCTGATGAAGAGACAAAGGCGGTGGGTATTTATGAGAAGGGCCAGGGAGACAATTACATCCATAGATGGGAAGCATTGCTATTGTTACAGATAACATAGTGATGCTGATTCTAAACAATATTTTTAATTTTCAGTCCGGTAGTCATAATATCTGCTTTCTTGTTATCTTTGCGTGCAGTTCTTTGAGCACAAAGTTGCTAGATCAGTCCAAAGATTATTTTGCCGTTTTTCACATCCCCAAAGTTTGAGGCATCAGCCAGGCAGCTCCTCTGGGAGGGCAGCTCCTGCTGCATTTTAAAGTGGCTCCGTCTTTATTACTGTTCACAGTTTGCTTAGCGGTGTCACAGAGGTCCCTTAGGCTATATTCATTCACTTTTCTTCATTTTTTTTCTTTTGTTTCCTCAGACATAATTTCCATTATGATTCCTTCTTTTGCTTGTTCATACCTGCCTTTGAATCCCCCTAGTGAATTTTTCATTTGCTATTCTACTTTCCAGCTCCAGAATGTATATTCGGTTCCCTCTTAGGTTTTTTTATCTCTTATTGATATTTCAGTTTTGTTCACACATTATTTTCTTGTCCTGCTGTTTCAGGGACAGTTTCTGTTTTTTTGTTTGTTAGTTTTGAATGGGCCATACTCTCCTGTTTCTTTGAATGTCTTGTGATTTTTCTGTTGAACAACAGACACTTAGATCTAATAACATAACTCTGGAAATCAGATTCTCCCCCTTCCCCAGGGTTTGTTGGGGGTTTCTTAGTTTTGTTTTGTTTTGTTTTTGTATGTGCTTTCTGTGCTAAGGATCAGCCTGAGGTGTAGGAGGTGTGATCAGAAAATACGGTGAATGTTTAAATTTTAAGAATTACAGTAAAAGACATTGCCATTAATTCCCCCTCAAAATACTCCCTCTCTTTTCAAACACACTCATCTCATCATTCTTGCCACTTTCTGAAGCAGTTCTGGACGTCCTCTTTCGTGAATGTCTTTACTTCATCCTCCATCATGACAACGCTCCGTGTCACACATCGCTTCTGGTACGGCAACTTCTGTCAAATAAAAACATTACGGTCTGTCCTCATCTACCTCATTCATCAGACCTGTCATTGTGTGACTTCTGGCTCTTCTCCAAAGTCAAAATGACCATGAAAGGTCAACATTTTGAATTGATTCAGGACATCGAGGCAGCCACGAGTGCAACTAAAGACACTCATGCAAGAGGACTTCCAGGACCAGTCGAGTGGCTCAGTTGGGTAAGAGCACGAGCTCTGAGCAACAGGGTCGCCGGTTCGATTCCCACATGGGCCAGTGAGCTGCGCCCGAGCTGAGCTGCTGTGGAGCAGCCAATAGGTGGCAGGATGGCTCAGCTGGTGAGAGCAAGTGCTCCTAACAACAAGGTTTGCCGTTCGACTCCGCCCAGGACAGTGGGCTACGCCCACCCGCAACTAAGATTGAACACAGCACCTTCAGGTGAGCGGCTGTGAGCTGCTGAGGGGTCAGCCGGATGGCAACTGGACTTGGAGCTGAGCCAGCTGCGCCCTCCACAACTAAGACTGAAGGACAACAACTTGGCTGTTCCCCTTCCCAAATTCCCCAATAAAATCTTTTTTTTTTTTTAAAGGACTTTCAGAACTGCTTTAGAAAGTAGCAAGAATAATGGGGCAAGTGTGTTAGAAGCAAGGGGGAGTATTTTAAGAGGGATTAATGGCAATATGTCTTTTAATAAATGTGTCTAATTTTTTAAATTTAAACAATCACCATATTTTGTAATCACACCTTGTAAACATATCTTCTCAGGTTTTTTCTGAGCCATTCTCTGGGCATGCGTGGTCACTTCCTAATGTTCCCCTATATGCAGTTGGTTTCTAATGCCCTAGTCTTTACTGTTTGGCCCCCAGTGGGAAAAAGGTGACCAATGAAGTGGGCAGAAGGGCCTGGTCCTTTACTTCTCTTGGAAGTACTTGAGCAAGAGGGGAGGGGCTTGCGACCCTGGGGGGAGACGCGCCGTGAGGGCTGCACACCTCTTTGTCTGCATCTCTGTGACCAGAAGCAGCAGTCAGTGATTGGAGCACAGATGCCCCAGCATTTGGAGGACACTCTTTTTGCCCAAGTTGGCGTCCACATTCTGTGCACAGCCGCCTCCCTGGGGGCTGGCAGGGTCCCGGTGCTTCCTGCTACGCTGTCTTCCCGGGACCCACTCAGGTACTTGTACGCCTCCCGCCTGTTGTTAGTTCTCCTCACTGCAGCCGCTCATCCCTCCGTCTTAGCCTTTCGATCGTTTTCTTGGTTGCTGTGGGTCCGTTTGGAGAGTTCTAGAAAGTTAATTTTAGGGCGCGGTCCCCCTGGAATGGGGCCTCTCATTTGCCCGGTGAGCACATTGGGGCCAGCTCGGCAGCGGCAGCACCGCCGTGGGCGCAGGGACGTAGACAGTTAGCTCCGGTGTGTGTGCCGTCCCGGCCCCAAGTCGCGCAGTGTGGCGACACGAGGTGGCGACTCAGCTCCCGGGCCTGGGAGGCCCGTCAGGTCCTCGAAGCCGCGGCTGGATGGTGCGTCCCGCCCGGGGCTCCGGCCGGGGTCACCGTGCGCAGCGCACGCGGCCGACAGGTGGGCGGCAGGTGAGCGTCCCGCCCGGCCCCGGCCTGACCGTGTCCCCGTCTCCCCCCCCCCTTGCAGAGGAGGCGGAGCGCGGCGGTGCGGCCGCGGGCTCGCTGTCCCGGCGGAGGAAGGCGCTGGCGCTGCGGGAGGACGGGCCCCGCCGGCGCGCTCCGCTGCACATCGGCCTCCCGCGCGACTTCCGGCCCGTGTCGTCCATCATCGACGTGGACATCCTGCCCGAGACGCACCGGCGCGTGAGGCTGTACCGCCACGGCTGCCCACGGCCGCTGGGCTTCTACATCCGCGACGGCACGAGCGTGCGGGTGGCGCCGCAGGGGCTGGAGAAGGTGCCGGGCATCTTCATCTCGCGCATGGTGCCCGGCGGCCTGGCCGAGAGCACCGGGCTGCTGGCCGTGGACGACGAGGTGCTGGAGGTGAACGGCATCGAGGTGGCCGGCAAGACGCTGGACCAGGTCACGGACATGATGATCGCCAACAGCCACAACCTCATCGTCACGGTCAAGCCGGCCAACCAGCGCAACAACGTGCTGCGCGCCGGCCGCGCGCCCTGCGGCCCCGGCCGCTCCGACGGCCCCGCCG